TCTTGAACCCGCGAGCTCAGGCAATCCACTCACCTCAGCCTCCCAAAGGCGCGGGATTACAGGCTGAGCCACCGAGCCCGGCTTTAGTTATCCTTACAGACGTACACACTGGGTCTGGCTGGCCCAGGTGGCCTTTTCCTGAAAAGGGAGCCTCTCTCAGGCACCAAGCGAGCGGGGAAGACTCTGCTCCTCCCCATGTCATAACCTAGCCTCACACCCAGAGGAAAACCCTGAATTTCATGTTTACAAGGCAGGTAGCCTCCACAAATGGTCCTCCAATGAGCCACAGTATGCATGCCCTTCTACAATCTTCCACAACTGAATAAGGGACAAACCTGCAACTCATTTTTGACCAATACCGTAGAATTAAAGCTGGCTTACGAGATTTTCAACTTCTACTAGTTTCTTGGATGCTTGCTCTTGGGATGCCCCAGTCCTGGGAGAAGCCCAAACCAGTCCCCAGCCAGCAGTTACGAGCAACCACCAGCCATCTCGGAGAATCAACTAAGTGGAGCCTTCAGCCCAAGCTTCCATCAGACAGCAAGTAAGAGCTGTCCAGCTCAGCCCCAAAATGGGCACAAGTTGCTGTTTTAAGCCACTAATTTTGGGGGCAACTTATTATACAGCGATGGATAACTAGAGTACCTTTTCCATTACTTGATGTGTTTATTTAATCTTTGTCACAGCCAGACTCGGTGGCTCAGCCTATAATCCCGCGCTTTGGGAGGCTGAGGTGAGTGGTTTGCCTGAGCCCACGGGTTCGAGACCTGCCTGGGAAAATTGGTGAGACCTCATCTCTACAATAAATCAAAAAATCAGTCGGGCATGGTAGCAAGTGCCTGTAATTCCGGCTACTTGGAAGGCTGAGGCGGAAAGATCGCCGGAGCCCAGCAGGTCAAGGCTGCGGTGGCTGGGAGCAGCCACTGCGCTCCAGTCTGGGCGACAGAGTGAGACTCCAACTCAAAAAATAAAAATAAAAAAAATATATGTATATGTTTGTCACGTTTATATCTTTTAACAGATACTAAACTTAATTTTGCAAAATATGGTTTCATACCCTAAATGACTTTTTGAAACTCAAGTGTGTTTTTAAATTCATTCTTTTTCCTTTTTTAAGAGATGGGGTCTTTCTATATTGCTCAGGCTGGTCTCAAACTCCTGGGCTCAAGTGATCTTCCTGCTTCAGTCCCCTGAGTAGCTGGGACTACAGTTATGCACCACCACGTATAGTTCACCCATGTTTTGCATGTAGCTTTGGTTCATTCATTTCCACTGCTGTTCTACAGTTAACATTCCAAAATGTATCTATTCTTCTAATGGATATTCAGACTATGTACACATTCAGCTTTACAAGATGTTAATAACCTCTACTGACTTATATTCCCACCACTAATGAATTTATGATTACACACATCCTAAAACTCTGCATTTTTACACAACCTAATTTTTGCTCATTCATAGCCGTGAAATTATACAAATAAGCATTTTTAACTACTAATGAAGTTAACCACAATTTTTGTATTCCCTCTTCTGCAAAATAAGTAGTCGTGTATTTGTCTTTTTCTATTTCTGATTTGTACAAATTTAATTTTCCTGATAGTGGTTTGTTGGACATATCGTAGAAAGATGTCCTATTTTGTGTCTTTTTCCCCTCCTTTTTGGCATATTTTAACAAAAAGTTCTTTAATGTGAGCAAATATGTTAATATATATATATATATATATATAAAATATAGACAGCTCTTCTGTATCCTGTTTAAGAAATTCTTGCCTATCTTGAGAATATAAAGTTATCACATATTCTTCCAAAAGTTATAGTTTTGCTTTTCATATAACTGTTAGGTGAGGGTAGGGTTCCAACTTTTTGTGTGTGAACCATTTCTATGTCTTAGAGTCATTACTGAATAATTCTCCATATTTCCTCTGTCATGAATGTTTCTATTACCATTTCTTAGGTTTTCTGTAAACAAGCCTACGTTTATCATGAAGTTACTTCGGACTGCACTTGTCAAGGCTTTGTTTAGGATTTTTACATCTCTTTTCATGGATAATATTGGCCAGCAGTTTTCCTTTTGTGCACTTTTCTTTTTTGAGTCGGCGTCTCACTCTGTCACCCAGTCTGGACTGCAGTGGCACGCTCATGGCCACCGTAGCCTCAACCTGCTGGGCTCAGGTGATTCTTCCGTTTCAGTCTTCCAAGTAGCTGGAACTATAGGAACGTGCCACCATGCCTGGCTAATTTTTTGATTTTTTGTAGAGATGAGGTCACCAAGTTGCCCAGGCTGGGCTCAAACAATCCCAAAGTGCTGGGATTATAGGCATGAGTCACTACACCTGGCCCCTTTTGTGTACTTTCCTTATGACTTTGGTACTGGGTTACATTAGCATCATTGTGCTTATACAATATCTCTTCTGGAATGTTCTGCATAAGACTTGTTACTTCAAAGTTTGATAGAGATCTTGCCTTAAGAAACAATTGAACCTAATGTTTTCCTTGTGAGATTTCAATTCAGATTTAGCTTTTTTATGATTTTAAGACTATTTTTTTGTTGTTGTTGGAGTCTCACTCTGTCGCCCAGACTGGAGTGCAGTGGCCGCTCCCGGCCACCGCAGCCTCCACCTGCTGGGCTCCGGCGATCCTTCCGCCTCAGCCTTCTGAGTAGCTGGAACTACAGGCGCGCGCTATCACACCCAGCTAATTTTTGGATTTATTGTAGAGATGAGGTCTCACCAAGTTGCCCAGGTGGGTCTCGAACCCACAGCCTCAGGCAATCCACTCACCTCAGCCTTCCAAAGACGCAGGATTACAAGCTGAGCCACCAAGCCCGGTTTATTTTAAGACTATTACTACTTGCAGGAGTTATATGTTCCTAGGAATTTTCCCACCCTGTTGGAGACCACTGCCCTGCTTGAACTCTGCTGAAAACATACTTGGTGTACGTGCAAAGTCACAACCAGCCATGAATGTCTGCAATGGCAAAGCCAGATAGGCATGTATGCTGAGACAAGTTCTAAACGTGCAGCATCTGTTGTGTTAAATTAGATAAAAGTTATACATTGTCTTGCAAGCAGCTGCACTATCTTTTGTAAACAGTCATGCTTTATCACAAAAGTTTTTTAAGATCAAAACTGGGAATTTTCTTTGCACTGTCTGTTCTTTGCCCTTGAAGGCTTACTTAACTATCATTTTGTACTAATAAAAATCTGATGGGTAAGAAACTCGGGCCTTTGTCCGGTGAGGCAAAGTGCCCCCTGGTTCCCCCACCTCCGAGTTCTAAGAAATGTCTTGTGAATTGTGTTATACCGTGCTATTCCTCTTTCAGGATCCTTTACCATCCAGCCATGCAGGATGCAGCACCACCCTAGGAAATCAGAGATGGAAAAATTGAAAGGAATAGTTGTAGGATGGATACATCGCAGACTAAACATTCAGTGACCCAGAAAGTCTGTTCCTCACAAGTCTGAAACAATAAGACTGGTGAGTCCTAGAAGCCAAAGGTTGAATTTAAAGATTTTTGTTGCGCATAGGCTTCATTCCCAATAGCACCTGTTCTGTGTGTGGTCTTTTTTAAAAGCTCCCTGGCAAAGAGAAAAAAACTAGCATCTTATTAGCCCTTATGTTCCTGCCTCTTACTGATAAGCTTGGCTAAACTAGATGAGATTCGTCTCTGTAGAGCTCAACATTTTTAGTTTGACTTATAAGATAACTGGTCCCAGCTTGCTAATATAATGATTCACATTTTAGAAATGCTGAAATGAACTAACCTGTTGAAGAACACAAGTCAACTTTCTGGAGGAAAAAGCATCTAAACTCAGAGCCTTTTTTCCCAGTGGCCTTCAGAGTGTGGGGAGGACATGAACGTAGTCTGAGGAACAATGAAGTCACCTGGTTGATCTCACCTTCTGAAACAATGAAGTGAGTAACCAGAGAGCTCGAGGGAACAGGCACAGCCTAGGAGCCAGGAGCTGTGCTCCCTGTGCTATGCTGTGAGATCATTTCTAAGACTTCCAGAATATTAAATTACAAAAGCAGCAGTTGTCTTAATAACCTTTACTTCTCAATGTAATACAGCAAAGGTAATCACTTCATGTGAAAAGCAAGTGAAATCCCATGCATTTTGTGACTTAAAGTGACTTTAGATCTGACTCAGAGTTTGGTATGAGTAGTCAGGAAGAAAATTCAAAAGACAGTATACCTGCATAGTTTACAGAGTGATTTTCTTCTCAGGTTAATGGCTTAGGAAGCAGAGAAACAATCCAAAAGTTATGACAACCAAGTACAGAATCTGCTTTAAGACTATAAAAAACAAATTTTAGTGACAGTGAGGTAGCTACAGGTCACCTGTACACATTTCTTTTCTAAAACATTTTTCCTATTACCACTGGCTTGCATAACACTTAAGTGTCATTTCAAAAAATAGATTCCTAGATTTATCTGAAGTCTGGATTTTATGGCTGCACTTTTACATAATAAATCAGCAGGCTTCCCAGTGATGCTTATGAAAGCTGGTGGCTGTTATCATACATCACTAAAAAGAAAACAACTAGCCCTGCAATCTTAAAAATTCTCAATTTTACAGTAATAACTTAAGAACACAGTAACAAATATTTTATAGCTTTTCTAATATTCCCAGGGTTACCCTGCATCATGAAATCTCCGATGTTTGATGAGGCCTAACTTCTAAGTTTTACCCTCAACTACTCGTCCATCACTTTCTCCCCAGGATTTGATATTCAACAGGGAATGAACTGCAGTCGGAAGAGTTCCCACATGCATTTTATTTATACAGGTTTTCTCAATTATGAGTCCTCTGGTGATTAGTGAGAGATGAGCTCTGACTAAAAGCTTTCCCACATTCTTTACATTTATAAGGCTTTTCTCCCGTATGAATTCTCATATGTGTCATAAGGGAAGAACTCTGTCTGAAGGCTTTTCCACATACTTTACAGTTATAGGGTTTCTCTCCGGTATGAATTCTCTGGTGCTGAATGAGAGCTGAGCTTTGGTTGAAGGCTTTTTCACAGTCATTACATTTATAAGGCTTCTCTCCAGTATGGATTTTTCGATGAGTATTAACTCCTGAGTGGGAACTAAAGGCTTTCCCACACTCCTTACAATGATATGGTTTCTCTCCGGTGTGAATTCTGTGATGTATATTAAGCCTTGAGATCCAGGAGAAGGCTTTCCCACACTCATTGCATTTGTAGGGTTTTTCTCCAGTATGAATCCTTTGATGTTGTATAAGAGCTGAGCTTTGGCTGAAAGCTTTACCACATTCTTTACATGCATACGGTTTCTCACCGGTGTGAATTCTCTGATGTATAATAAGGGCCGAGTGGTAACTGAACACTTTTCCACACTCATGACAATGAAAAGGTTTCTCTCCGGTATGAATTCGATGGTGCCTGCTTAGCCGTGATATCGAAGTGAAGGCTTTCCCACACTGACTACACTCATATGGTTTCTCTCCAGTGTGAATCCGATGGTGCTGAATGAGAGACGAGCACTGGCTAAAGGCTCTCCCACACTCGTTGCACTTGTAGGGCTTCTCTCCAGTATGGATCCGCTGGTGATTATTAAGGGACGAACTGCCTTTGAACGTTTTCCCACATTCCTTACATCTGTAAGGTCTCTCTCCAGTATGCATTCTCTGGTGTCCGATAAGAGATGTGGTGAAACTGAAGGCTTTCCCACATTCACTACATATGTAAGGTTTCTCTCCTGTATGAACCCTCAGGTGCTGAGTTAGGGATGAGCTTTGGCTGAAAGCTTTCCTGCACTCCTTGCATTTATAGAGCTTCTCTCCAGTATGGATTCTCTGATGCTTGCTCAGGGAAGAACTGTGGAGGAAGATTTTCCCACAGACATTACACTTATAACACTTGCGCACTGTGTTGACTCCCAGTTGTTTAAACAGAATTGAATACTGCTGTGAACGGGGTTTCCTTCCTCTGGCAACAATTCTGGGTTTTCTAATAAGTGATGATTTCAGAACAAGATTTTTCCCAAGTTCAATACCTTTAAAGCTCCTGTCCTTCATGTACATTTTTTTGATGGTAACTAACACTTTCCTGAAAATTTTGTTCTTTTTGCTTTGCTGTTTCTCTAATTTGTTCTCCTTTACGTAGGTTTTTCCCAACTTGAAGTCAAAAGGACCATCAACTATGAGTTTTTTCATGACTTCCTGATTTTCTTCTTCAGAAACTATGGTTTCAGAAAAACTCTCCCATCCTAAAACAAACAGAACATGTAAGTCTCTCTTGCACTGTGAATAAGAAAAGGGACATGAAAACATGCAAGGGTGGTTAACAACCAACCTCAAAATCTTAAGAAAAGATGGGAAAAATAAGAAAAGAAGGAAGCAGGATGGTAGACATGCTTGGGAGGGAAGAGAATGAAGAAACCTTTATGTAAGTGGGCCAAGGAACTCAGAGAGAAGCTCTTCCAACAGGAGGAATCAGGCCTGAACTAGTAGGCAAGCACAGGTCACCAGAGTTGTAAGGCTGTGCTAATACACTCAGCTTCACCTTCCAGGTCAGCCACCAGGGCACTCAGGTAAGTCTAAGGGAAAACCACAGACGACTAAAGACAGGAATGAAAGAGAATAGCTCCGTGGAACACAGGATCTCAAGCAGTGCTCTTCTGGGACTCCTCGGAGTGCTGAAAGCACTGCTGTGATGGCCATCTACTCATTCTCTCAAGCACCACACAAAGGTCAAGACTCTGGGAGTTTCAGGGAACATGTCACACGAGGGCCTACTATCTCCAGTCTTACATTCTAGCAGCAGGACCCTGACAATGACCAAAACCAATTCACAAAGAAGTACTAGGGAGTGAAGAGAACTGTGAGAAAACAAAAATGAGGTGATGTTCAATAAGAGAGAATAAGTTGATATTTTAAATGGAGAAAATGAAATTAAAGATGAGCTCTAAATAATAAGAGCTGCCAGGCAAAAACATGGGCATAAAGGTGAGTTCCGTCAGAAACAACACTGAACATAAAGCCCCTAGGGCAGGAACGAGCTTTCTGTGTTCCAGAACACAAAGAAGGCCAGTGTCGCTGAAGCAGAGTGAACAGGGGAGAGTTGTTAGATGAGGAAAAGAGGTAGGCCAGGCCAAACCGTGTAGTTGTGCAGGAGAAAGTCTGGAATTTCTTCTACACATCATTAAAGGTTAGAAGGGACATGATATATGTTTCTTGTTTTAAAACAATCACTCCGGTTGTTGCATGGCACACGGACAGTAACCAAAACAACAAGGGCAGATTCAGAGCAGACAATCAAAAGGCTGCTGCAAACTACTGGATGGAGATGATGGGGCTGCCACTACACGTAGTGCAGATGAAAAGAGGTGGGCACATTGAGGGTGTTTGGAAGGTAGAAATGGCATGCATTTCCTCCTACGGTCACAGTGTATAGCAGAAGTAGAAGAGAGACTTCAAGGATGACTCCAAGTTTTTGGCTTGGGCAGCTCAATGGAGACTGGTGCCGAATCATGATATTGAGGAATACGGCAGAAGAGATTATTGAGAATTTTTTTTTTTTTTTGAGTTGGAGTCTCACTCTGT